GCACACCCCCCCAAGGACTAGCAGTGGGGCTCCCAGAGGTGCCCTGATGCCAGCAACCTCCTGTCCCGGGGGCGGCAGAGAGCAGACGCTGCCACCTCCTCTGACACCGAGCCGATGGCTCTGCTCACACAGACGTGCCCTCTTCCCGGGGCTGGGATAGTGCGAGGGTGCTCAGCGACATCCCGAAGCACCTCGGTGAAGGAACAGCCACGTCCACCCTGGGCAGGGGGTGTTGGAGGGGATGAGGACTCTACCTCAATCTGTGTCCTCCCCTCTCCGTGCCCAACAGCACCACCTCCTCTGACACCGAGCCGATGGCTCTGCTCACACAGACGTGCCCTCTTCCCGGGGCTGGGATAGTGCGAGGGTGCTCAGCGACATCCCGAAGCACCTCGGTGAAGGAACAGCCACGTCCACCCTGGGCAGGGGGTGTTGGAGGGGATGAGGACTCTACCTCAATCTGTGTCCTCCCCTCTCCGTGCCCAACAGCACCTTTCAAAGGTGTTTGGGGATGTCCCAGGTTGGATGTTTCTTGCAGGTCCCCGTGAGAAGAGACAGTTGCACCTCCAGGGCTCTGCAGCCCTTCTTAAGAGCTCCCTGAGACAGAGCCAGCAGCCTCATCTCCGCACCAACTGCTCCAAAAAGCCTTCTCCTTCCCAGCCCCAGCTCACACGACGTGACAGTGGGGAGCCCTGAGTCTCCCCTCAAGTCCCTGGGCCCATCCAAGACCAAGCAGAGCAAACGCTTCGGCCAGGAAGGAGCCGATCTTGGAGAAAAGGAAGAAAATCCCAGAGAGAAGGACCCACCACATCTCCCATACTCAGAGAAGGCGACGGATTTCTCCGGAAGGGATGAATTTAAAGCAAAATAAGACGTGTAGCAAATCTCTGCTTAGCAAAGCTGCTGTGACAAGGGGGAAAGGAGGTGAGGCAAAGGAGTTGGGGGAAAAGGAGATGAGGGAGCAGGAGCCTGCTGTGCCCCCAGGCAGGGGAAAAAGGGAAGGCAAAGGATGTGCCATGACTGGCCACGGGTGTTATTGCCACTGTGGGCAGCATTTATGAGATCACGTACATCCAGAAAATTTAGAATGCACTGGAAAAAAGAGTCTTCTCAAAAAGGTGCAAGTTACTGCAGAAAGTGCTGGCTGGTAACAAGAGGTAAGAGGTGTTTAAGCTGTTTTATTTAATGAGGAGCTGCCTCGTTCATGTCCCCACTGGGGAACGCCCTCTGCCTGGCTCCATCAGCAGAAGCGGAGGGAATCAGGAGCAAAAATTTCCAGATGAGAAAGTAGATCTGTGTTTCTAAACTCAAGTGTCACCCTTACCCACTCGCCACTGCCTGCACCAGGCTCTTCATTCCCCGCTGGATAACGGGAACATCACTAAAGCCAGGTCAGAAACTGCTCTTGGCCTTTCCCAAGGCCACACGTGTGCCCAGGAAGAAGCATGCCTTCATCCCCTCCTGCCACCCCCAGGCTCTCGGTGCGTCCCACCACCCTGGCTCTGCCACAGATGCCAGCTCTGGGTGGCGAGACCGGCCCAACCTCTGCTCAGTGGTGACGGTGGAGAAGCCCTCAGCTCCAGGCTGGGTTGCTCCAGCTCTTAGAGCTCAGTGGAGGAGCTGAGAGGCAAGATAATCACTGAATCATAGAATCACAGAATGGTTTGGGTTGGGGGAAACCTTAAAGATCATCTCGTTCCAACGCCCCTGCCATGGGCAGGGACACCTCCTGCTAGACCAGGTTGCTCCAAGCCTCATCCAGCCTGGTCTCTTCTCATGGGTAATTAGCGATAGAACAAGAGGGAATGTCTTCCAACTGCAACAGGGGAGGGTTAGACTGGACATGAGGAAAACATTTTTCACAGAAAGAGCAGTCAGACGCTGGCACAGGCTGCCCAGGGTTGAGTCCCCATCCCTGGAGGTGTTTAAAGGTCGTTCAGAGGTGGGGTTGGGGAGATGGTTTGGGGTGAGCTTTGCAGAGTAGGTTCATGGTTGGACTCGATGATCCCAGGGGGCTTTTCCAACCTGAATGATTCTGTAATTCTGTGACTTCCAGAGATGAGGCCTCCACAGCTCCTCTGGGCAACCCATTCCAGTGTGTCCCCACCCTCAGAGTAAAGCACTTCTTCCTCATGTCTAATCTAACTCGACCCTGCTCTAGTTTAAAACCAATGATGCAGAAGAGGAGAGAGAAATGCATCCTTCCCTGAAACCCTGGCTGTCCCTGCAGCCACCAGCACACCTTCTCCCACGGCCTGGGCCACCAGCCAGGCTGTCTCCAGCCACAGCAGCCGCTGCCAGCCCTGAACCCTCTCCATTGCCATCTTGAAACGTCCTTGCCCCTCTCCTCCACGTCGGCATATTTCCCTTGGATACCTGGAAACCAGTGCCGCCGCACCCCCTCCTGTGCCATTCCCTCTGCTGCGAGCCCGATTATTAGGGGAATATTTTTACACAGCGTGTCAGACCTTTAAAAATAAGCCTAATGAAAACAGCCTGGTACTCGGCTGATTAATCACCAGTGTTTTGATGAACTGAAATGCCTTCCCGTTTCCTCTAAATAGACTCAAATGAGCATTGCCGTTGCTTGTTAGCATTTGTAGCCCTCAAACCCACTCAGATGTTTCCTTAAAAGGCAAAGGAGACTGGGAACTTCTTGCCTGGAATCCGAACGTTTGCAGAATCGCTCCCGAGGCTGAGCGA